GGATGAGAGATAGGAGAAGGGGAGGAAGAAGGATTTGGACGAGTATAGAGTGAGGAAGCAGCGGGTCCATGCGGGGCTTTGGATGAAGGAGATCGAGAAGATGGAGGAGGCTAGGGTTGCCGATTCTACTGCCGCCGGTGATGATATCGATCGGCTTCTTGATTCTTGCTCCGAGTAAGTAGGGTTTTAGACTCTTTGTTTGTTGGAATAGTAAAGTTTAAATCTTTGTTTAAAGGAAAGCTTAGTTAATGTCATCGGAGTTTTAGTTCGATTAACTTTGGGGCTTCTTTGACTCGTTTCAACCACATGATCATTTTGAAAAGTAGTAATAATAGAACTTTAATCTTTTCCCATAAAATGTTTTAGAAAATATCATCTATTTTAAGATGTTCTTGGCGTAATCTAAATTGATTTGCTCACATTGCCATTTTGTTAGCTTGTAATCAACTTACACGCCATAAGCTCCATTCCCTTTTGATTTTTACTCAGAGCTTTGTAAATATTTCCTTCATTCTTGTATCTAGGTACCAAAGTGACCTTTCTCATATTGGTTGGCAATTTCTTAGTAACTTAGCTTATGCGTTCTACTTCCTTACTCCGGAAAACTACCAAGCTTTAGTGGGCATATTATCAGGTTCTAAAGTTTCTAGTGAATGCTCACGAGGCAGTACCTTATGCTCTTCTCGCTGATTCTCGTTACAACAATGAGTACCAAAGTGGATGCAGGTCCATTTTGTTAAAAAAAAACGTTGAAAAATTTTCTTTGGACAAAATTTTATTCATTTGTCAATTTAAAGTACTAATCTGGAGATGAGATATAAGTGTAGATGAAAGACAAATGATATAATGAATTAACCGTACATTACAAATATGTTGAAGGATAACAAGACTTTCAGAACCATGCACCTTTTTTCTGTAATGAGTATTTTTTTTAAGCTTGTGCACCAAATTTTATGACCGTTGTTCTATATAGTAGGTCCCTGCGTACACCTTTTTACTTCACATATCTGTACAAACAAGTAGTAGTTCAAAGGCCACCCCAATAGCAGAGAGAAGGCTACAGGTTATTCTATATGGTGATGGTGTATACTCTTTAGTTATATGAATCATGCTTTAATTTAAAACGCTTCGTCATACACTTTTTGAAAGTTTATCCTACACTTCACATCCATTTCCCGAAACATGTTGGACATGGATCAGGTTTGTTTCAGACTTTAGTCAATATCCAGTTCAGAACTATTATTTTGAAAGTCAAATGAGTAGCTACTTCAGAAACATAAAAATGTTAGGTATTTTTATTCTCATAAGATGTTAATGAAAAAAAAGTATTGATCGTATGTAAATTATTGATTTTAATATATGTGTGTAGCAGTGTCTCTGTATCCTACAAGCTTTCCATGTCCCATACCTGTACTGTTAGCCATACCTGTTTCCATGCACCATAGCACTCTACAATACCAAAAATACATGACTGCTTGGTGTATACCTTGATGTGCGGGGTCTGCAAGAGTCTGCATTATAATTTGATATACTGTTCTAAAGTTGCATTCTATATCATAATGGTGTGTACCTTGATGTGCTGCCTGCAAGAGTTTGCACCTTCCTGTAGATTCTTGTACCATGTCAATAATTTCTTGTACCATGGATCATAGTTACATCCTTTAGACTTTGCAGGTCAAGCAAAGCCATCTGTTCTGAAGCTCTTTAAATTTTCATTGAAATGCAGGATTTTTGACTCTGGAAACATTGATCTGAGTAATTCAAAGATCCCCAGCACTTCTGGGTTCCAATCTAAGCCTTCTGGATGGGAGACAACAACAAAGACTCAAGATGGGAACATATGGGAAATATCTCAGAGGGAAGAGGACATCCTCCTCCAGGAGTTCGAGAGGCGAATCGCTTTCAGTAAATTCCAGGTATGTTTATTTTTTTATATCTTGCGGTGATCGTATATGTTCTTTGATCTTTCTTGTGAATTTCCTATCTAACTTTCAGATTAGTGATCCTATTTGTTGTTTTCTTATAAATTTTCGGTCCAAAGTTCTAACATTTTCTATTTTCCGCTTAGCCTACAACTTAAATGTTGTAATGCATAATTATTGAAATTTCGACTAAGATTGCAAATGATTTGGCCTTGACCTATTTTTACATCATGGTGAATTATTTTTGTATGGTTAGACGTAGGAGAACTTTTGTTTTGAAGGATTCCAAACAACTTTCACCGCAATAAGCTGTCCATGATTAGTGTTAGAATATAAAACTATAATACTCGGTCCTCACCCCAACTTCGGAGTTTTGGTGTAATGGTCAGAGGGATTTTGACAATTAGGTTGTTTACTACTAAAGTAGCTTCATGTTGCCTTGTTTAAGCATATGGACTATTATAATGCAAATTCCTCTAGGGTATATCTCTGTTATCAACTTTGTCTCTATGTTCACGACTTCAAGTCACTTACAAAAGTCTAAACACGTAATACTTGCTCTGTTTCTGTCTAGTCCTTCGCTTTCTATAAAATGTCCAAGAGATGACCTGTGTGTTAAAAACTAGGATGACCTATGTGTTAAAAACGTTCTGATAAATCTCATTTGAAATGTAAGCCATGAAGTCAAGCCAATCTATTTAGGAGCATAAAAGCTTAAACTTACTAATTAATTAGATCCCTGGTCTCAAGTCCTCATCTCATGGAGCTCTCAACCGAGGCAGGTTTTTGGAGCGCAAAAGCATAAATTTCTGTTCTCCTTTGCTGATTTTCCTAATAAAATGTGATTCTTACAACTTCCGGTAAATTTACTGCAGATAGCAAGCTTCATTAAAACTCATATTTTCAGCCGGAGAAGGCCAATAGATGGGTGGAAGTACATGATAGAGGAATTGGGTCCGAACGCTAAAAGAGGGAAGGGGAGTGTCCAGAGGCTGCCTAGTCTAGCTGACCCATCCACCCAACCTTTCAAGGAGGAAAGGCCAGCAATTGCCCCCAATCTTACCTCCAACAGACGGAGATGAATACAATATCAATTATTCCAGTTCAAAATCTCAACACAAGTTCCAGTGGTTGTATTTGATCCTTTGTTATTCTAGAACTTTGTCAGTACTTATTGGACTGCCTAGAACACAAGAACTTGCTTCACTGGATTTTTCTTGTGAGGATTTAAAAAAAAAAAGGACGAAAAGCAGTTGTTATGTGACATTTGGTTGGACGCTGCATCCCTGGACACGAGCTTCAGTTTTTGCAGCGGAGGAAGGTCGGTGTGAGGAAGTTATTTATGTTGGCAACTTCATCTGTCAACTGCTGGTGGTTCTATTTTTATATCTACGGGAAAGAAACTTTAATACCTCATTGCTGAGCTTGTATTTGTTTTAGTTGTATAAAAATTCTCGTATGCCTTTGTGGTTCTAGTACAGGTTGTAGAAAGCTGCTTTATTTTTCTCTATATGCTCTTTTTTATGGTTGTTATTAGTTACGGGTGGGAATCTAGTAGTTGCACAATTGAAAACTCGATTCTTTGTGAATATATTGCTTTAGCGGCCGAAAATGAGACGGGTTGGATGCACTTTCCCCCGTCATTTAGCGGTTAGAATGGAGGTGAAGTCTCTGTCTAATCACAAATGTGCTAAGACGCAAACAAAGTGATGCACAAATATTTGTTCTGTTAACTTTATGCAATTCGTAATGTACTTCAACTAAACTTTTGCAGTTCATAGTATTACTAAAACTTCTTTGATTGAATGAGATATTTAGTCCGTATAGATTTTTATATTAAGAGCTTAATCAGATTTTTGTATAGACGAGTGATCAAAAAGAAAATAAGAGAACAGTGAAGCTCTACGTCTGAGGACCAAACTGGACGCCAAAAAGAATAGGCGCACTCAACTGCGTTACTTGATAAATTACTGATGAATCTATAAGGATTAATTGCATATAAACCTCCTGCATTATCTTATTGTGCCACTTATCACCCTTTAAATTTTGTATTGTCACATTGTGTCACTTATTACCCTTTACATTTAATATTGCAAGATAAGGGCCTGTTTGTTTCACCAAGTTTATGGAATAGGAATGGTATTTGAACCTAACAATGGCGTTTTCGTAATTAATGGAATCTAACTGAATCCTAATTCTGAGTTTGGTTCAAAAAAAAATTATAGAATTGCTATTCTATAAAGTGGCTCAAACAGTGGTAATTTCAAGAAACCCAAATCCAACCTTTTTGAGAGGAATTGGGCATGATTTCTGACACCTCTCCCAATACTTATTCCGATTTCTGACACATCTCTCAATTCTTTCTGAACCAAACATGATATTAGGAATTGGACCAATTCTATAAAAGTGAGATTCCTAATCCTTTGGGTGAAACAAACATAGAATGCAAAAAAAATGGGATTCCATAAAACTAAAACTTGTCTATAAATTTTATATGGATTAGGTTGAAATCCATAAATAAAATATGATTCCTAATCCTATTCCTAGCCTCTATTGAACCAAACAGGCCCTAAACCTCCTGTAATTGGATGACAAAGCAGTTCAAACTAACATACTCCGCATCTATTCACGTACTCCGACAAAAAGTGAATGTCATCGAAACATTCAAAGTTAGTCAGGGTACGAAGTCAATGCTCGCTAATCATTGCAGCATTGGCAGTGAGTAACATTATGAAAAGAAACTTGCTCACAACATACAGACATCTTCAAAATTTAAACTTCAACCTAATACTAAACAGGAAACTGTATGAAGCCTCGCTGCCTCAGCCCAAAAAGAAAATGCAAGTAACATCTGGCAAAAATTTCGTGTTACCTGTAGATTACAAAAGAACATTTCACCTCACTTTAAACCAGCAGAGACAATTCAAATTCCTCAGCGTACAAAATATACATTTGCTTCTGCCAGCGGTACCCGGAGTGAAGAAATTTTCACATCCATGGGTTTGGGAGAGGTCATAAGTGTCATCACTATCAATCGACCATTTCATCCTTTCTAACAGTTAGTGAAAAAGAGTTAGCTGGGGATCTTCGCCCAGCATGAGAATTGTACTTCTGTTGAAGCCTTGGTCTGTTATCGGTCCACCAATTCTGTGCTTGCCGCTCATTGAACTCTTTCCGACTGCAAACCAATCAATCACAAGGTAAGTAGGCGATAGTTAGAAATTAGAAGATGCATATTTATGCATACTAGGTGGAATACACGTGCACTACACGTGGTTAAATATTATAATTATTTACTTTAAGTTTATTTATTTACTATAACATGGTTGGGAATTTTTTTATAATTATCATAATATATTAAATTTTTTTGGATATTTCCATGTGCAATTTTAACATTTTGCCTTCTAGAGAAATAGTGATGTTTAAAACCTTAAAATATTAATGATTTAAGATTAATTAGTAATTTGAATGTATAATTTTAAAATATTAACGATGTAAGGAACCAATAAGGAAAAAACCTATTATTATTATTATTAAATAAATTCTTGAATTCATCAAGGACAATGGTAGGTTTTATCTCGTTATTAAGGATTTTGTTTAGTTATAAAAAATCACTTCCATATGTTATTTACTTCCACCTGTTGTTTATCTGGCGACCGAGTATTATAGATATTCAAGAATTTTTTTTCTAGAATTTTCTAAGTTAGAATGTGCAAATTTAATCAAGAAAGAAAATACAAGTTATGTGATCAATTTCAAAATCTAATATTGTACTCTTTCTACATCATCCCAACTACTAATTGATCTGTCAAAACAATTACTCTCTAGTTTCAGAAAATTATAAAATATAGTTTGAACATGATTTGTACATATTATGCACTCATATTGATTGTATTTTAACAAAATAATTCATATTTATCCAATGTCAAACAACATCCAAAAATTTAGCTTAACGAGTTAAAAGGATATAATATCTCCAATAATACTCATATCCAAGCTATGAGCTTCATAAACTTATAAAAAAGTGATCAATATAAAATTATAACTTAATTTACTTTGTCAAATAATTTATTACAAATCATGAAAGACAAGGGGAGTCAGAAGAATCGTATACCCATCCTAAATAAATATTAAATTTCTCTTAGAGATTCTTATAGCAAAAGATTTTAGAGTTGATGTGTAAGATAAATTTAAGGACAAATAACCCAAACCAATTAATTGAGTGATAGATTTGCTATGAACTTCACTCTTATAAAATTGATATCACATGTGCCTTAAGTTGTGCTTTTGTTTAAGAGTTAATTTTAGAAAACTACAAAACTATTTAAGACTGAGTAAATCTCTGCCAAGTTTTGGGTGTTTTGTAGATAATTTATCTCAACTTAAAAAAAAAATGATTTAACCCAAGTGAACTTTTCTCACTTAAATCTAACCTTTAAAAACTAACATTATTGAGTCTTATTTATTATGTGACAAATACTTGACTTGGAAAGACTAAAATATCAGTCATCGTAAAAGAATTACTTTGGCTTTTGCCAGATAAAAGAGGTAATATAGAGGGAAAAAGAATTGTTAATTGGTTGTGATCCTTTTATTATCTGTTAAGGGTTTCTTTTTAATTAAAATTGCTTTCTTTAACAAGGTATTTTGTCTAAATCACATATCGAAGTAAATATGTTAATGAGGTTTGTTGACAGAAGTGCTAAAGATTAGGGGAGTTTTCATGAGATACTCTATAGTGAGAGGTGTTTTCTAAAATTGCACCAAAATTGAGAGAGGTAATCTATAACACCTCACATAATGAGGGGGTTTTCTCAAATTGAATCAGTTGAGTGGGTTTTTTAATACAATCCCCATAGTTGAGAGGGTTTTTAAAAATTAATACTTCTTTAAAATATGGCTTATTTATAATTTCTCCCTCAAAATTTTAATAATTTAATATTAGCCACTAAAATTATGATCAATTTCAAATATTTGTGGGAGTACCAAAGAATCATTGGATATTTAAAATCAAAGAACTATTATCTAAATAACCTTTACATATTTGCTCTTATAGACATTCTATTAAATATCGACCAATATATTGCTATATCGGCCAATATATCGGGTTAAGGACCTTATATTGGTACTATTTTATATTATTTTCTTTTGTTTGTTGATTTTTTTGATATATCGACCGTTATTGAAAATATGACCGATATATCCCTTTGAAGATATCAAGAAAATCATGTCATTTTTAATTTGATTGTGGGCTCGGGTTTGGATCATGTTTGGGAAACAAAATTAGAACCCGCAAAATCCATAAGGGCCACAATTCTTCTCACTCTAAGCTCTCACAAATCTTAAGCATATATCTTGATACAAATTTTTATGTAAAATTCATTAATATGTTAGGTTACATATTACAATGTCATGTTATGTATGAATGTTATCTCATATGACACCCAGTATTACATACATATCCTTGATTTTTGCAACCCGATGTCATGGATTTTATTTTTTCAATATCCCTGATTTTTGCAACCCGATGTCATGGATTTTATTTTTTTAATATTTATTTGATGTCCAACATTTTGTAGTAGTCCTTCAAAAGCCTCTTCTAATGTTTTCTAAGCAAAGTATATAATTTCAAGAAATAATTCAAAATCTTGAGACTCATTCAAAATATGATGCTTTAATTTTTCCACATCTCCTCTACTGTATAAATATAAGCTAAGCATCTGACCTCATATTGTATGATGAATATTATTTATCAGGGATCATATACTATTGTTTGTGGATAACAAATGTATCAAATCTTTTGTAGGCTTAACTGAACTTAAATACCTTATAGTTTACCAAAATTATACTTATATACCTCCACTTGTATCTTGCTGCACTTTTTTTAAATTTTAGATAACGTATCTTGATGCAGTTAAATATCCTAATATTTTCAAAATTTTAATGTTTGTTCCTTCTGTCTTGTTACCTAAACATAAGAATGTTCTTTGTAATTTTTCTATATGAATTTCATGCTATAATTTTAAGACAATTCTATGTTTTCTACTCTTTCCATAAATACTTTATTGACATACAATTATCTATTAATATATTATTATACATTACTAATAATTAATATGATGTAGAGTTTTATAATAACGTTAGAAGTTCTAGGGACCAAATTATGCAAACTTAAAGTGACATATAATATAATTAATTAACAATGATAATTAATTTAGTTTAGTTAGTATTAGAATGTAATATCAAAAGAGAATATGGGTAATATAGTCCTTGGAAAGTATTTCCACAACTCCCTCTTTTAAAGGGAGTATGATTTGGCAATAAATATATCACACTAAGTTGAAATGAATAACAGGGAGTTTTCTTTTTCTAATGAAGCAAAATACATCAATATAGGTTTTTACAGGATAATGATCATTGCATGAGTTACCTTCGAATATCCTTTTTTCAACTACGTTAAGCAAGAAGAAAAGAAAATATTTGAATTAAACAAGAGGAGAGCAAGAAGAAAAGAAAAAATTTAAGTTTTTTTTGAAGGGGCACGGAAACACATGAGCACGTGCACACACACTTGCAGTCACAAGCAGGCATGCACGTACTGACGTACACACAAAAACATGTATTGCAATGTTGTGCTCCTCTGAGAAACCGTTTCATGACTTTTCAGCAAGCTGCAGAGTAGGAAGTTAATCTCATTTCAGCCTAACTCTTTTGGGAAAGATTTGGAGCTGGAATCCCTCTCTCAGATTCGTTGATAGGAACACTATGTTTAATATCCACCCCATTCAAGCTGGTTAACGAAATTTAGCGCTAAATTCCAAAAAAATGTGTTTTAACTTTTCTTTTTTGGCTAATGGATATTGCATGAACAAGTTAAATAATGAGTTGCTGAACTTAATAATCGATAATGTCTTTAATAATCTATAATATCTATACCTAACAGAGAGCATGTTATGTGTCTTCAAGCATCTAGATCATGATCAAATAATTGGATGGGAAGTTGTATGCCTAAAAGCATATATCGGACATGCAATGCTTGGTATCCCATTTGCTTTAATGCATTGGTTAAATAATTTGATGTGACATACAGGATAGACCTTACCAGTTACCACTAGTGAGTCTTCTGGTACCTCAGTTTGTAAAATGAGTTGTCGTGCGCACACAGTTGTTACTAGCAGTAAAATGTAAGAAATTGCTTCCAGTCAACATTTTGACTTTGTGGAATATAACAAAGTTAAAAAGTGTAAGAAAAATATGCCATTATGACCACGCAAAACTCTCATTGATGTCAAAGCAAGCCTTTCCTGGATATTGTCTGAAACACAAGAAACATATTCATCAACTGACCTTCCATTACCAGTGGTGACAAACATACCTGAAAAACACTCTTTTGAGAGAAATTTCACCCTCAGGATTCCACGAGAGAGTGACAGATACTCCCGGTTCATCCTGTTCGACCAATTCTTCTGTTAATATCCCATTAGCATCGATGACATATCCTTCTGCTACTCTCTCTGCCATGTCCTTCAACTGCCATGTAAAAGAAGCAATAATAAATGAGAAAATAGTATGTGCATATATGCAATTCAGTCCAGCAAGCAAATAACAAGGGGTTACCAAACCATGAGGCAGCCTCATGCCAACGTGAGTGCTTGAGAAACTGGATGCTTACCGAAAGAGGGGAAGCCACCCCACCCAGAAAAGACACAAGAAAATTAAGAAACCTACATATTACTCTGAAGTAAGATTTAAGTATGCATGCCCTCATCATATGACATGACATTTTGTATTCATTATTGGGGACAAGTAATGGCATCCATTAGACAGAAGCTGACAGCTGCTGGTTAGAGCCAAATAACTGCAAGCCCCAACTTTTAGCTCTATAGAAATCCTAGAAGAAGATTTTTCAGGAAACACAAAGCATTTAACTCCAATGTTTTGTGAAAAGCATAAATATAAGTGAATTTTAGGTGTAGCCCAGGCCTTTGGAGCCCTCAAACCTACAAATCCGACAAATACCACCAAACACAATCCCACGTAACACAAACATTTGTGTTTCGTGTTATGAAACCCAAAGATTCTTGCGGTCACCCCCTTAGATCAAGAAGCAGCAGCAGAAATAGCTCGATCACCGGCGTTAATGTAAAAACCATAACTTTTGCCGCAAAACCAGTATATAATTTGAGTCAAATTTTTTTGTCAGAGTTACTGTTTCTTTATTAAAGTACTGCCTTCCTTTTACAAAAGGGTTTAACTAACAGATTTTTTTGTGGTGTGGTTGGATTTGGGGTTTT